CTTTTCTAAGCTGAGTATCAACTGTGTGCAACATCCGGTCTTCCGAATTTTCTTAAAATTCTGTTCAAATAGTTTCCTCGGAAGACCGAATAATCATCACACAAGAATGTGGGATGTGTGTGTTCTGGCACAAGCTGTTTTACCTGGACCACAACCAGTTGACGTTGCCTCTATCTTATGGACTCATTTCAAAAATGTGGCAATGTCATCAGGACAAATTGTGATAGGGGGGATAATCACACATCTAGCCACTTTATATGGTTTTGTAGACCCAAACCCCATTACTCCTAAACAGCTCATTTGCACGTCATGGCTTGTACAAATGACCAAAGATTTGGTTCTATCTCACATGACACCTACTGGGACACCAATCTACAACTGGCTTATCATCCCACGTCAAAACATATCTATCCATATCCCATCCCCTGACGTCCCCCTAGATATCGTGGGCCATGAAATCGGTGATGGTCATCACTACTGTCTCCCCGGGGCAATCCCGGCGCACTATGCACAAGATGAGCCCGATCAAGGACATGCTGAAGAAAACCCGCCCTTCATACCTAATCCACCACAACAACAACTTGATGCCCCAACCTACCAATACTAACCATTCGAGCAACAGATGCTCGATAACATGAACATGATCAACAACAACTACATCGTGTTTCAGGAGCGAGTTGATCAGTATAGAACTGAGCAGAGGCATAGCTTTGAGAGGATGGAGGAACAACGACAAGAAGACTGGCGGAGATATGAAGAGGACCAACGGCGAACCTTTGGTCCGATACACTCCTATGTAGCACACCACGGCCCCTTTTTCTCTATGACCACTCCCCCTCCCGCACCATCATGGTATGACCCCTCTTAGTGGGGTTACTTTGGAGGATCAAGTTCCGGTGGTGGAGGCAATGATGGTAGTTAGGAGGGGATCACATGGATGAGGACAGACACCAAGGTGGAGGTCTAGGCGGGCACTAGGGACAATGCCAGATACTAAGTGTGGGGGTGCAGAGATTGTTCTGATATGCTCACAATCCTACTCTTTTTCATTTTATTTTCATTAAAAAAAGGAGCTTGTTGAGTTGAAAACCCACAAAGGGCAACTCAAGCAAAACATAAAGCAATAAAATAAAGAGTGAGGTTGTGAGAATTAAAAGAAAAACGTGGGAAGCTGGGATGAAAACCTGAAAGGGCACCTAGGCAAAACGAGAGAATGAGAGAAATGTCTATTTTGCAGAATCCTGAAGGTGATAAGCTTAAAAGAGAAATGGAGATGAAGTTGAAGACCCCGTTTTACTTTATCCATTGTTGGGGATGCTTTGTGATTACTTTGTATTGTGGTACAAACACCCTTGGATGTTTTGCGTTGATATTCTTATCATTTTAAAATGACTTCTTGGATTAGATTTGATTTACTCGAGACGAGTAAAGGTTTAAGTGTGGGGGTATTTGATGCACACTAATTAGTAGTGCATAATTATATGTTTTTATGTTTCATTGATGGTGATTGTTTGACGTTTTATTTAGTTTGTAAACATTTGTGTGATTTTAGTTGTAATTGTATTTTAGTTCTCATTTGTAAGTTGTAAAGTAGAATTAGGAATTAGGATGTTGAAAAGGAGGATGTTGAAGTGAAGAAAAAGGAATTTTGACTGTTCAGGAGCAAATACCCGACCAGGTAGGAAACTTCACCCGACTGGGTCTGATTTGAAAACCGCACTGCTGAGGAAAGAGTTGGACCCGGTCGGGCCCCATACCTCACCCGGTCGGGTGAGAAGTGACCATGGACAACCCGGCATGCAAAGATCACCAGAACGTGGTGAATTATCTGGTTTTGACCGGACCCGGTCGGGTAAGTACTTGACCCGGTCGGGTACCCGGCCAAAGGTGTTGAAAAACACCTATAAATAGCACTCTTTTTCTTCTCTAAAAATCATTCCTTCTTCCATACTCCTAAGATAAGTTTAGAATAGAATTTCTTTATATTTTTCTAGCTATGTTTAGTCTCCAAATGAGGAGCTAAACTTCCATTCTTGGTGTTGCTCTTGAAGCTTGTTGATTATTAAAGTTGTGAGTTATTTTCTTAACTTCTTTCCTTGAATATTAATTATTAGTTCTTTCCTAAATACTATCTCTATATTAATGTTGCTAAGATGACAATTAGTTAACATCTCGACATTAATTAGAATAGTATTTTTTCCCTCTATATTAATGTTGGGGAGTGTTGCTAAATTGACAATTAGTTAACATCTTGATATTAATTATAGTAGGATTCATCTCCTTTAATAATATTCTTCCTTTATTATTAATTAATTCCTACTCATATTTCATATTAATATTTTGAACATCACTTAAAGGATCAACTAGTTTTGTTTCATATATTAATTATTACTAGAAACGATCGACGAACCGATGGTTAATCGTTGATGGTTTCACAAGTAAGTAACTTCGGTTTATTAATGCACGGTCGTGGTTGATAAACTTAAGAGGGATTAATTTTGTTGGTTAAAACGAAACCATTGTATTGAGGTTATCAATCTCAATTGATTTCATCAAGGAGTTAAAAGATTAAAAGCTACTATCAAGTTTGTATATGGCAGTGTTCTATACTTGACTAATAGTAAGGGTTATTAATGAACGGTCGTTGTTAATAACTACCCTCGATGAATTGGATATACTCCTCGATTGAGTATTCGAGAGGGATTAAGTTATAGATATAACAATGATCGACTAAAATATATCAACAAGTGGAAAGTAGCAATACCAAGTCCTTTTTATCTTTGAATTAAATCTCATATAAGTCGTTCATCTTAGTTCTTAATTTAATTAAATCATTCATCACCAAAACCCCCCTTTTTATTTTCTAAGTTCATAAAAAGAAAAGTATTCCTTTCTCTGTGGATACGAACACTACTACGCTATACTACGTATTAGTGCTAGTATTGAATTTATTTTGACGCACCGTGACAAAGTGCTCGTCAACGGAGCTGATGACCAACGTGCTCACTCCCAAGTATAAGAAAAGTGTCTCGTCGGGCTTGGGCTTGGAGAGCACAAGAGGGGGACAAAAGGTACTGCTTCAGCTCCTCAAATGCTTTCTGGCATTCTGTCGTCCATTTGAAGCTGTTTGCCTTGCGCATGATTTAGAAGAAAGGGAGAGACCTTTCAGCAGATTTGGAGAGGAAACGGTTAAGAGCCGCAAGTCGTCCCGTCAATCGTTGTATTTCCTTGATATTGCGGGGTGGCTCCATGTTTACGATGGCCTGGACTTTCTCCGGATTTATCTGAATGCCCATTCGGCTGACCATGTAGCCAAGGAATTTGCCTCCTTGGACACCAAAGGTGCATTTCTTGGGGTTGAGGCGGAGCTGGAACTTCTTCATGATTTCAAAGATTTCCCGGAGGTCATCGGCATGGGTGGTAGCATGTTTGCTCTTGACGATCATATCGTCGACGTATGCCTCCATCGTCTGGCCGAGGACTGCTCTAAAGATTTTTGCTACCATCCTGGTGTATGTGACGCCTGAATTTTTGAGCCCAAAGGCCATGAAGAGTGATAGTATAGAATTGTTATTGTTTATATTTGTAATTTTAACTAGTTTTAATTAGTTCTAGTTGTGGCAATTACACACTTTTGGTGTAATACTTTATTTTCATAATTATTTGTAATTTGTTTAGATTAGGACTATTCTGAGCTAAATAGGTCAAAGATCATCCAAGGGATCAAGATTGGAATTCAAAAGATAAAGGAAAGTTCAAGGAGACAAGAAAGATTTCGATTTGCAAAAATTACTCTTATATCCGGTCGGGTATAGGCAATACCCGATCGGGTATTTGCTTGATTCGATTGTCCAAATAAAATCCGGGAACAAATGATCGTGGGAGCAAATTTTCGTAAAGATTTGTCACATACCTGATCGGGTATGCTGACTGACGAGCACTTTGTCACGGTGCGTCAAAATAAATTCAATACTATCACTAATACGTAGTATAGCGTAGTAGAGTTCGTATCCACAAGGAAAGGAATAATTCTCTTTTTATGAAACTTAGTAAATAAAGGGGGAATTTGGATCGAGTGATTTAATTTAATTAAAAACTAAGATGAACGACTTATATGATATTTAATTCAAAGATAAAAAGGACTTGGCATTGCTACTTTCCACTTGTTGATATATTTTAGTCGATCATTATTATATCTATAACTTATTCCCTCTCGAATACTCAATCGGAGAGTATATCCACTTCATCGAGGGTAGTTATTAACAACAACCGTTCATTAATAACCCTTACTATTAATCAAATATAGAACAACGCCTTATACCGATTTAATAGTAGCATTTAATCTTTCTAACTCTTTGATGAAATCAATTGAGATTGATAACCTCAACGCAACGGTTTCGGTTTAACCAACAAAATTAATCACTCTTAAGTTTATTAACCACGACCGTGCATTAATAAACCGAAGTTACTTACTTGTGAAACCATCAACGATTAACCATCGGTTCGTTGATCGTTTCTAGTAATAATTAATATATGAAACAAAACTAGTTGATCCTTTAAGTAATGTTCAAAATATTAATATGAAATATGAGTAGGAATTAATTAATATTCAAGGAAGAATATTATTAAAGAAGATGAATCCTGCTATAATTAATATCAAGATGTTAACTAATTGTCATCTTAGCAACACTCCCCAACATCAATATAGAGGAAGAAAATACCATTCTAACTAATGTCGAAATGTTAACTAATTGTCATCTTAGCAACACTCTCTAACATTAATAAAGAGATGATATTAAGGAAAGAACTATTAATTAATATTCAAGGAAAAAAGTTAAGAAAATAACTCATAACTTTAATAATCAACAAGCTTCAAGAGCAACACCAAGAATGGAAGTTTAGCTCCTCATTTGGAGACTAAACAAAGCTAGAAAATTATAAAGAAATGCTATTCTAAACTGAGCTTAAGAGTATGGAAGAAGGAATGATTAAAAGTGAAGGAAAATGGAGCTATTTATAGGTGTTTTACAACACCTTTGGTCGGGTGCCCGACCGGGTAAAGTGCCCACTCCACCGGGTGCATGTCAAGATCAGATAATCTTCCACGTTTTTGTGTTTTTGCACGTTAAATTGTCTCGGATCAAATCCGACCCGACCGGGTGGTATAGGGGACCCGACCGGGTCTATGCAATTTCCAGTCTCCTTCGTTTGTTAAATCTTGCCCGACCGGGTCAAGTGTTTATGCCCGGTCGGGTTTCAGCTCCTGAACAGTCCAATCTCCTTTTGCTTCACTTCAAAGTCCTCTTTTTAACACCATAATGCCTAATTCAACTTTACAACTCACAAATGGGGATTAAAATACAATTACAATTAAAATCAAACAAATGTTCTCAAATTACTAAAACGGTAAACAATCCACACAAATCAAACATAAAAACAAACATTTATGCACTACTAATTAGTGCATATCAAACATCCCCACACTTGAATATTTACTCGTCTCGAGTAAATGCAATTCAAGGAGTCCTCAAATGATAAGATCATCAACCATCACATTTTGTTTTTAGAACAACATAATCACAAAGTATCCCTAACATACACTCTCAAAAAATATCAAGGGATCTTCAATTTCTTTTTCCTCATGCAACGAACTCTCTTTAGTAATCACCCTTAGGATCCTGCAAAATCAAAAGAAATACTTTCTCTCATTCTCTCATTTTGCCTAGGTGCCCTTTCGAGTTTTCAACCCAGCTTCCCACATTTTTCTATAATAAATCTCACAAACTCACTCTTATTTTTGCTTTATTATTTTTTTAAGCTGCCCTTTGTGGGTTTTCAACTTAACAAGCTTTTTGTTTTTTTTTGTCTTTTTTTTTGAGAAAGAAACAAGAATGAAGAGTATGAATGTGAGCATACCAGAAAGATTCTCCCCCCGTGCTAGTTCATGGCACTATCCCTAGTGTCCACCCGCGTCGCCGCCATCATAGAGTCCTCCATAGCCATGATAGCCCCCATAAGGTGTATCCTCATCCATGTGATCGCTTCCATCACCGGGACTTGGACCGCCTAAATAACCCCATTCAGTGGGATTATACCAAGAGGGTGCAGGATGAGGAGTGGTCATAGATGCAAAGTCACCCTGATGTGCTATGTAGGAGTAGATAGGGCCATAAGTCCTCCTCGTGTCTTCTCGATCTCTCTGTCGGTCCTCCTCATACCGCTGCCAGACTCTTTGTCTCTGCTCCTCTATCCTCTCGAACCTCTGTTGTTGTTCAATTCTATATAGTCCAACATCTTCGCGAAGGTTGGTATAGTTGAGGTTGAGGGCAGCCATGCTATTGAGCAGTTCTTGCTCAAATGGCGAAAATTGGTGAGCATTGGGTTGTGGCTGGGGTTGGGGTTGGGGTTGGGGTTGTTCGGGTATGAGGGGTGGATGTTCAAGTGCGGCTTGATCATGGTGAGGTTCCTGTTGTTGATAATGGGATGGTATTCTACCGGGGAGACAATAATGATGCCCATCACCGATTTGGTGATTCAAAAGGTCCAAGGGGAGTTCAAGTGGGGGTAATCGAAAAGAGATGTCTTTGGGTGGGTCGATTAACCAGTTGTAGAAGTTAACCCCCCCCGGGTGTTGTGTGAGAGAATTTTACATCTTTGGTATTCTCCATAAGCCATTTTGTGCAGACAAGTTGTTTTGTGGTAATGGGGCCGGGGTCTACAAAACCATATAGTGTGGCCAAATGTGTGATTAAGCCTCCCATCACAATTGGCCCTGTGGAAGTTGCCACTTTGTTGAAGTGAGTCCACAGAATAGTGGCAACATCCACCTGATCCGGGCCTGGTAAAACAGCTTGTGAGAGAACACAAACATCCCATATTCTTGTGTGATGGTTATTTGGTCTTCCGAGAAAACAATTTGATAAAAATTTCAAGAATATTCGGAAGACCGGATGTTGTACACGATTCACACTAAGATGACGAAAATCAACATCTACCTGACCTGTCATCCTTTTCCATAACTCTACACCCACAAAAGTGTCATAATCGCGTTCTTCATCAAACAAGGGGAGGCCAAAGTGTTGGGTGAACCCCCACTTGGTCAATGAGCGGTCCTCATTTAGTAAACGAAAGTTGATTGTGCTTTCAGCATGGTCATCACTATTTGTAGTTTGCACAAATGAACTAAAAAAATCATATACCAAGTGTGGGTAGGTAACATATTGCATTTCAAATACCCTAAGCATTCCAGCATTTGTGAACAGTTCACACATAACGGTATCAAGCATGAATGTCAATAGGGTAGTAAGGCAAATGAAACGGGATTGTTTTACCTCCCGTTTGGTTTGTTCCATGAAGCGCTGCTTTTGGTCCTCCGAGATGAAGTCCACACTCTCAAAGCCTTTCACGGGTGAAATGGCCCTATTACCCCTTGAAGAAGATGCCTTTGATTTTTTTGGAGTCATGAAGAAAATTCTTTTTGTAGAGTGATTTTCGGAATTTTGGTTGGGTGAAGCTTGGATGGTTTTTATGGGTATGGTTTTGAAGAGGATGATGAGGAGAGCAAGAATATGGTATTAGTTAAGGGTTTGGGGGTTTAGTTCGGACCTTGAGTGCTCAAAAATGGGGATTTTCGAGCTTGGGGTAGGGTTTTGTGGGTTGGGTTGATTTGGAAGGTTTTGGGGGGTTTTTATGGGTATAGAAATGAAGAAGGAAGTGAGGAGATGAAGAAAATGGGGTTTTTTAGTGGATTTGGTTAAGGGAAGATGAAGATTTGAAGGTTTGGGTGGTTGAAAATGGTGGATTTTGGGGGTTTTGTGCGTAGGGAGGAAGATGAAATGGGAGGGGAAGAGGTGAGCCCGACCTGGTATAGGTCTGTTTCCCGTTCGCCCGGTCGGGTGGGGTATTTTACACGATCGGGCGTAAGCTGTTCACCCGAGGCAGAAGGTTTTTGTTGTGTTGCCCGACCGGGTATAGTGACTGACCCGGTCGGGCGTAAGCTGTTCTTTGTTCTTCATCTGTCTCGCCCGGGCGGTTGGCCGGGTGCTGTGTTTTAAGAGGTAACCCGATCGGGTAGGGTTTTATACCCGGTCGGGTCCAATCCCAGGCCAATTTATTTATTTTTTTAATCATACACGACTGTAAACAAATGAAAATAAAAATGAAGAAATTGGGTTGCCTCCCAAGAAGCGCTTGATTTAATGTCGCGGCACGACGTTATTTTTATTTTTTATTTTTTTATGTGGGATCGTGAACATCCCTTGTTTCATTTTTCTTTTTCGGCCTTCTCCAGTAAGCCCGAGATTTCTTCCCTGTTATCACTTCAACCCCAGGTGGGATCCATTCTCCTTTTGAAAATTTGAACAATTCTTCTTTTTCAAAAAGTGTGATTTTCTCAGTTTTTTCTCAACAAAAATATTCGGAGTTTGTGGTTCACAAACATTTAGAGAACAAAGAGATTGGTTTTTAATTTGTTTTTTCGTAGAATCAGAAATGTTGAATTCTACCTTTTGATCATCAAACTCTAAAGTTAACGAACCATTAGACACATCTATTTTTGTTTTTGCTTTTTTAGAAAAGGTCTACCCAAGAGGATGGGTGTTGTTTGATTATCATCTTCCATTTCAAGGACGTAGAAGTCAACAGGGAAAATCAGATTTTCAACTTTTACAAGTACATCCTCTACGACGCCCTTGGGGTATGTGTTAGACCTATCCGCCAATTGGATTACCACACTAGTTTCATTCATTGGGCCAAGTTTTAGAGACTTGTATAACGAATATGGAATGACATTGATCGAAGCCCCTAAATCCAACAAGGCCCTTGGAAATAAAGTGTCCCTTATTTTGCATGGGATTGTGAACATGCCTGGATCGCTACATTTCTCGGGGAGTTTCTTTTGAAAGATCGCCGAGACACGTACACTAACCTCCACCTTTTGTTTTCCCTTTAATTTGCTTTTTCTTTTAATTGTGCATAATTCTTTTAAAAATTTAGCAAAACGGGGAACACTTTTGATTAAGTTAAGGAGCGGAATGTTTACCTCACATTTGGCGAAAGTCTCATATATGTCAGCATCTTTCTCCAACTTCCTTGTTTCCTTCAGTGCTTCGGGGAATGGGGGTAGTGGTTCATATGAGGACAATGGTGGAAACTTTGCTTTTATGGTCCTCTCTTCTGGTTGAAAATCTTCTTCGAGGCCAACCTCCTTTTCATCTTGCTCTTCTTCCCTATGCACCTCTTTCAATGTCGTCCCACTCCTCAACATGATTGCATTAACATGTTGTCTTGGGTTTTGCTCCATTTGGGAGGGGAGTCTGCCTGACTCTTTTGCCTCGAGCCGGCTCACAACACTCGAAATTTGGCTCATTTGGTTCTCCAAATTTTGAATGCTAGATTTAGTCGTTTCTTGAAATTGGGCCACACTTTGTTGTATCGTTGATACACTCATGGTAAGTGCTCGAATCATGTCTTCGGTGGACATATTTGAGCTTGAAGTTTGGCCTTGGGAGGGCTGGTTGTATTGTTGGGAAGAAGAATTTGGTTGTTGAGGATTTCCATACCTTAAATTTGGATGATCTCTCCATCCTGGATTGTATGTGTTGCCATACGGATCGTACCTCCTTTGACCTTGGAACCCCAATGCGTTGACTTGTTCGGCATTCTCCTCTTGTAGTGTTGGGCAAGAATCGGTGAGATTCCCTTGTGTTGAACATATGCCGCAGACCTTGACTTCTTTTGTTTTTGGATTTAAGAGAAAATCTTTAACCAAAGAAGTTAAGCCGGCCACTTGACTTTCCAACGAGGTGTTAGATTCTGCCGCCATAACTCTTTTTGATGACCGCCGATCATAGTGTCTACAATTCTCGACCAACTCCGAGATAAGATTCCTAGCTTGAGAAGGGATTTTGTTTACAATTCCTCCTCCACATGCGGCGTTGATCATCCGCCTATCATCATTGAAAAGACCATCATAGAAGTATAGGATGAGGTCTTGCTCCGAATAGCCGTGATATGGACAGCTTGCACAAAGTTTCTTGAATCGTTCCCAGAATTCGTAGAACGATTCATCATCTTTTTGCTCCACATTGCTGATTTGTTTCTTTAGAGATGAGGAGATTGAGGCAAGATAATACCTTTCGAGGAAGCTCTTCTTCATGGCCGCCCAAGTGTCTATGCTTCCCGAGGGAAGATAGAATAGCCAATCTTTGGCGGTGTCTTTGAGGGAGAATGGGAAAGCCCTCAACTTAATTTGCTCCTCTGTAACACCGTTCGGGCACATGCTTGTGCAAACGGTGTGGAACTCCGAAAGATGTTTATTCGGATCCTCGCCCCGTAGACCATGGAATGAAGGAAGGAGATGGATGAGCCCCGATTTGAGCTCAAATGTAGCACCTTCATCAAGAGTAGGGAAGGTGATACATAACGGTTGTTGGTTAAGATTAGGAGCCGTGAGCTCCCTCAATGTTCTCGTTTCAAGAGCCATAGTGATTGGCTCTTCGGTGTCGCTAGAATGAGAACTAGCACTTGATGATTCCTCCGAAGAAGTATTCGGAAATAAATTCCTAAACCTCTCGAAGGCTTGTTCTGTTTCGGGCTTTGTTTGGTAGGTGATTTGGTTTATAGATCGGTGTTTAATCATAAACTCAAATAAAGCTCAGAAGAATAAAAATATAAGAACTCTTTATATTTTGTTTATTAATTTTTTTTTTGATTTTTCTTGAAATAGAATAAAAAGAAAAATTAATTGCCTTTCCCCGGCAATGGCGTCAAAATAAATTCAATACTATCACTAATACGTAGTATAGCGTAGTAGAGCTCGTATCCACATGGAAAGGAATAATTCTCTTTTTAAGAAACTTAGTAAATAAAGGGGGGATTTGGATTGAGTGATTTAATTTAATTAAAAACTAAGATGAACGACTTATATGATATTTAATTCAAAGATAAAAACGACTTGGCATTGCTACTTTCCACTTGTTGATATATTTTAGTCGATCATTGTTATATCTATAACTTATTCCCTCTCGAATACTCAATCGGAGAGTATATCCACTTCATCGAGGGTAGTTATTAACAACAACCGTTCATTAATAACCCTTACTATTAATCAAATATAGAACAACGCCTTATACCGATTTAATAGTAGCATTTAATCTTTCTAACTCCTTGATGAAATCAATTGAGATTGATAACCTCAACACAACGGTTTCGGTTTAACCAACAAAATTAATCCCTCTTAAGTTTATTAACCACGACCATGCATTAATAAACCGAAGTTACTTACTTGTGAAACCATCAACGATTAACCATCGGTTCGTTGATCGTTTCTAGTAATAATTAATATATGAAACAAAACTAGTTGATCCTTTAAGTAATGTTCAAAATATTAATATGAAATATGAGTAGGAATTAATTAATATTCAAGGAATAATATTATTAAAGAAGATGAATCCTACTATAATTAATATCAAGTTGTTAACTAATTGTCATCTTAGCAACACTCCCCAACATCAATATAGAGGAAGAAAATACCATTCTAACTAATGTCGAGATGTTAACTAATTGTCATCTTAGCAACACTCCCCAACATTAATAAAGAGATGGTATTAAGGAAAGAACTATTAATTAATATTCAAGGAAAGAAGTTAAGAAAATAACTCACAACTTTAATAATCAACAAGCTTCAAGAGCAACACCAAGAATGGAAGTTTAGCTCCTCATTTGGAGACTAAACAAAGATAGAAAAATATAAAGAAATGCTATTCTAAACTGAGCTTAAGAGTATGGAAGAAGGGATGATTAAAAGTGAAGGAAAATGGAGCTATTTATAGGTGTTTTACAACACCTTTGGTCGGGTGCCCGACCCGGTAAAGAGCCCACCGACCGGGTGCATGTCAAGATCAGATAATCTTCCACGTTTTTGTATTTTTGCACATTAAATTGTCCTGGGTCAAATCCGACCCGACCGGGTGGTATAGGGGACCCGACCGGGTCTGTGCAATTTCCAGTTTCCTTCGTTTGTTAAACCTTGCCCGACCGGGTCAAGTGTTTATGCCCGGTCGGGTTTCAGCTCCTGAACAGTCCAATCTCCTTTTGCTTCACTTCAAAGTCCTCTTTTTAACATCATAATGCCTAATTCAACTTTACAACTCACAAATGGGGATTAAAATACAATTACAATTAAAATCAAACAAATGTTCTCAAATTACTAAAACGGTAAACAATACACACAAATCAAACATAAAAACAAACATTTATGCAC